AAAAAGAAAAACAAGAAGAAGAAGCTAGACGACAACAAGAAGAGGCCAGACGACAAAAAGAAAAACAAGAAGAAGAAGCTAGACGACAACAAGAAGAAGCTAGGTGACAACAAGAACGGCAAGAAGACCTTGGAAAACTGCAGAAGATCTTCCAAACCATACAAGGAACTGTCGCTTACCTAGACCAGAAGATTGAAAAAGTTAGAGACGATGTGCAAGAAGTTAAACACGACGTCCAGGAAGTAAAAACTGAAGTCAAAATCGATGTTCAAGAAGTTAAAAACGACGTTCAGGGAGTAAAAGCTGAGGTTAAAGCCGATGTTCAGCAGTTAAGACAAGAAGTTGAGGACCAAGTTCAAGCACTCGAAGATAAGATGCGTAAATTAGAAATACAGTCCATCAATCCAACTAGTGTTGGAGCATTCTCTGGTATGAAGATAAAACCACCAACTTTTGACGGTTCTACAGCCTGGACCATGTATATCCGACAATTTGAAGCTGCTGCAAATATCAACGGATGGAACGATCAAGAAAAAGCTACAGCGCTGATAGTGGCGCTACGAGGACCAGCCTTAGATCTTCTTCAGTCCATTCCTTCAATCTATCAACAAAATTACCAGCATTTAAGTCAGAAGTTAGAATTGCGCTTCGGAGACCATTACAGGCAAGAAGTATTCAGAACTCAAATCAAATCGAGAATTCAAAAACCCGGCGAGAGTTTACAAGAATTCGAATCAGAAGTTAAAAGGCTAGTGAGTTTGGCATTTCCTGCAGCTGGGGAAGACATACAAGAATGGATGGTAGTATCTACGTTTATTGATGGTCTCCGGGATTCCAAGATCCAGGAAAACCTAAGAATGTCCAAGTTCAGGAAAAGTAGCGAAGCCCTTGTCCGAGCATTAGAACTGGAAGCAATCTTTGGTGCCTCAAAACCTAGAATACGAGCAGTGTCCATTCAAGACCCAAAGGATGAACAAACGTCAAAAGCAGATGGTAGCTTCAAGAATCTTATGAGTAAGTTCACGGAGAAGATGAAGAAATTAGACAAATGGAAAACGTCTCCAAACAAACACCAATACCGAAAAACCGAGTAAAATGTTACCGGTGCCAAAATCTTGGGCACATGCAATATGATTGTGGACTAAGGATGTCGTCTCCATCTCGGGATCGTTCCCAAAGCTTTTGGAGGTCCAGAAACGCTAGTCCTGAACATGGACCTGGAAACCCGCATGAGAAGAACACTAGTCCAGCTGTGAGAAGAACGAGCCTGATCGTTGATGACAAGTGGACTACGAAACAAATGAGAGAAGATCAGGAAGCAGACCAGGACATCGGGCAGATTCTCCATCTGAAGGAAAATGATGAATGTAGGCCAGAATGGAGAGGAGTGTCAAACAAGAGTTTGATTTACAAGGCATTGTGCTCCCAGTGGAACTCCCTGGCCGTAGAAAATGGGTTGCTTAAAAGAGTTTGGGAAAGTGCCGATGGGAAATCCACTAAGAGCCAACTGGTTATCCCAAAAGACCGAGTGGAAGATGTATTAAAAAAAATAAACGACGGAACTTCAGGGGCACATTTCGGAGTTAACAAGACTTTGGACAAAATTCGGGAACGTTTTTACTGGGATTACTACCATGAAGACGTTAAAAGCTGGTGCCGAAAATGCGACATCTGTGCTACCAGTAAAGGACTTAAACTAAGATCTCGGGGGCCCATGAAACAGTACAACGTCGGTCTTCCATTTGAGAGAATAGCGATAGATGTAGCAGGACCGTTCCCAGAGTCAGAGCGTGGTAACAAATACATCTTAGTTATCATGGATTACTTCAGTAAATGGCCAGAAGTTTACGCTATTCCCAATCAAGAAGCCATCACTGTTGCCCAGGTGCTAGTGGACGAAGTTATTAGTCGTCATGGTGTGCCACTAGAGTTACATTCAGACCAGGGACGAAACTTCGAATCTGCCATCTTCAAGAAAATTTTTGAGATCATGGGCATTCGTAAGACAAGGACAACGCCTTTACATCCACAGTCTGATGGCATGGTAGAACGATTCAATAAGACCATAGAGGAACAGCTGACAAAAGTGGTCGCAAGGAACCAGCGAGATTGGGACAAGCATTTGCCTCTATTTTTAATGGCTTACAGAGCAGCTGTTCACGAGTCAACAGGTGAAAGTTCAGCCAGAATCGTCTTTGGAAGAGAACTCAGGCTACCTTGCGATCTGATGTTTGGGACACCTGAAGAAGAACGAAGGGAAATCCGAGATTATGCCGACGAAGTAAGGGCACGACTTTTGGGTATCCATGATTTTGCTCGGGAGCATATTCAGTTGGCCAGTGACCGAATGAAGACTAGATACAACTTGAAAGCCAATTCAGCCGGATTTCAAGAAGGTGATTTAGTGTGGCTGTATAATCCAGCTAGAAAGAAAGGAGTATCGCCGAAGTTGTCTTCAGCATGGGAAGGACCCTATAGAATAATCAAGAGGATCAATGATTTGGTTTATCGAGTCCAGCGCAACACCAGGAGTAAGATGAAAGTTGTACATTTGGACAGATTGACGAAATATCAGGGGCGCGAAGTTGATCGGGACGATCAACCTTAAGAGGAGGGCAGTGTGACGAGCGTCCGCCAATGTGTCAAGAATCCTTGCATCCGCCAGTCTGTCGAATAACCTGGAATCTATAGTGAATTATTCTACTTTAATCGAGAAAATAGGATAAACGTGTGTATTCTAGATTTTACATTAATAGATTTAGGGATATACAGGGTGTCCCACGGTGGATGGCGTATTAGACGTTTATGGAGAACTAAAAAGCGGATAATTTTGAAAATTTGGCAACCGGGATAAACGACCATGATCTACACTTTAAAAATATTTTTGACCATGCGGTGTTTCCGTTTCTACTCTAAACTAGTGGCAACATCACTATTTTAAATGGAACACCCCGTATTAAATTGCATATTTGGATTCTACGTAAAATTCTAAGCAGATTTCATGTGATATGCCCTATACCTAAGTTCAACTGTTTTGGAAATATTGACAGTTGAAAATTGACTTTTTGCAACTTTGACAGGCTGTAAAACCTAATTGGTTAATTTTAGAGGAAAACCGATTTCACATTCCTGTCTTAGATTTTGATAAACTATCATTTGATACGAACTAAACCAGAGACTAAATTTAATTGAAATTTTTAATCATGGATTTAATTCTAAGTTGGTGTCAAATGATAGTTTATAAAAATCTAACATAGGAATGTAAAATCGGTTTTCCTCTAAAATTAACCGTTCAGGTTCTACAGCCTGTCAAAGTTGCAAAAAGTCAATTTTCAACTGTCAATATTTCCAAAACAGTTGAACTTAGGTATATGATATATCACATGAAATCTGCTTAGAATTTTACGTAGAATCCAAATGTGCAATTTAATACGGGGTGTTCCATTTAAAATAGTGATGTTGCCACTAGTTTAGAGTAGAAGCGGCAACACCGCATGGTCAAAAATATTTTCAAAGTGTAGATCATGGTCGTTTATCCCGGTTGCCAAATTTTCAAAATTATCCGCTTTTTAGTTCTCCATAAACGTCTAATACGCCATCCACCGTGGGACACCCTGTATAAGGGACGCTATTGCTTTGTAGTTTTAAGTTTCAGTTTGACTGTGATACGATTTGAATAGTGATTGTAAAGAGTTTAATTGTTGAGTTAGTTATTAAAGTAATTACTGTCAGAGTGTATTGTTAAGTGGAATAAATTATTGCTGTGTTATTTGGACTTTGATTTTTGGAATAAACGAAACGAACCGAAGATTTCTGTCAGGCAATCCAAAGCCGTGACAATACTTTTCTGTACGAATCTCGAATATCTCTGGCGGATACTATACCTATATGTATAAAGGGCGTAGTTTGCACTTTACAGGTTGCACTCAGTGTTCAAATTTAATAAGAGAATTGTTGTAGGTAGATACTTATAAAGGCAATAGCTAACCTGTTAGCACAAAAGGTACGATGGACGTTTTTTTAAAGTTCGTGTAACAGTCTAACGTCGAAATGTGCAAGGACTAAAATAAAACGTTCCGTAAACGTTTCTTCAAAAACGTTTTTAAAAACTACATAAAAAACATTCGAAATAATAACATGTTCACAACATGTCCATAAACATAAAGTTCTTTTTAAGTTTAGGAAACTATTGTTGTAGGTCATTTTTAAAACAAGCAACAACAAACGTCTAATAAACGTTTTTTTATTGTCCATGTCAGAGTGTTTTTCAAAAAGGTATAAAAAGCACGTTTTTTAGACGTCAGATTTAAGTTGTTTTTAAAACTTAAAAAAATAAAACATCGTTTTCTATAAGTTTGTAAAATGTAGAATATGTTCCTATTGAAAAAGTTTTATAATGGTTTCTGTCGGTCGTTTTCAAGAACCTATTTTAGATAGGTATGAAAGTATGGATATATTAATGTCCGGAAATTACTTCGACTTGAGACGTTTTTAAAACATTTTATTTTCGAAGTCTACATGTTGTTTGCAAGGTTGTTTGTAACTGTGACATTTGCACTATAAAAAAAAAGACTATTGAACGAGAACGTTCTTGAATACTTAAAGAACGCCCAGTGGACTTTCAAACGTCTTTTATTTTTTAAAATGTCCGCAGCGTTTTTAAAACTTCCGTTTTCGACGTCTATGTGACGGTTGAAGCTGTGACATTTGCACTAAAGAAAAACGTCCACTGGACGTTCTGAGTTGACATTTTGAAAACGTTCTGAAGGACAAGTCATAGTTGATTTTTCCAAAAGTTGTCCTAGAAGAATTTGTTTAAGTTTTGTTTTCGAACAGATCGATTTGAAATTTTTCCATCTCATAATTTAAATATTTTTCATCAAATCCGTGGAACTTTTCCGCGCCGCATTGTTGGTCTAACTGCTTTCGCGTGGGAAAAGTACCATTTTGCGCACTTGCTATTTGAATAACTAGTAAAAGATAAAAAAATCAATTTTTACCTCAACAACACAAACATCCAAAAATGAGGACTTATCGAAGCTCCAATACCAAAAATAGACTGCAGCACCAGGCAAATTAATAAAATTTTCTTTCGTCCTCTTTGATCAGCCAGTATTCCGAAAATTATGTTACCCAAAAGTATTCCAAACATCAAGCTGACTTGAGAAAAATCTGCCAAATTTTGCCTGTCACACACTAAATCCCATTCTGATGTTATTGTTGATGTGAATACTGATTCGTTGTACGTGTATCCTGGACATGATAGCAGACTTGATTGATTTGAAGTTGGTTTCATGACACAAAACCCTTGATTGATACCATTCTACAATAGCATTATGATAAGCACTAAATACAAAAAACTACAAAAGTATTTACCTGTTTAGATGTTTGATTTTCTGATGGTAAAGTCAATCTTTTCCATTCCTGGTCTGTTATATTTTCTGATCCTGGTAGTTTTTGGCACCAAAATTCAACGGGCGGGGCTAAAAACACTATGCTCATTTGAAACCAGGCTATAGGGAATTTAACCATAGCCATTAGAAGCGAAATTTTCAATTGCCACCGTCCAAAATCACCAATTGTAGCTTTGATAGTGTCATAGCTGGTTTCTGATTCTACTGGATTTAGTTTAGTTGTAGCTGCGAGATAAAAAAAGAATAATTACAAGTTGCCCCAATAATTATCTATTATTTACCTTCTTGTTCCATTATTTTTAAGCCTTGAAATTCGCGTGATAACTGGTCGGGCTCTGACCGAATAACTAGTACAAGTACGCGAAATAAGTGGGCACCCAAGATCGTTGATACCTTCTTGTAGTGAAAATAGCCATTAAATTGCATTGTGAAAGTACAAAAGTGTCATACGAAACCAGAATATTAAGACGTTTATTTTAATTATTATTAATAGTTTATTGAAACTGATTTAATTTAAGAAAAGTTCTCATTTAGTGAATATATGGGATTTCCCCAAAAACTACCTAATTTTTCTGGACTAAATATAAAAATAGTACCTATTCATTTTTTTGGAAAAAACGATAAGTTTGAATTTTAAAAATATAGTTTAAAGAGCACGAAGGTTTAACGTATTAAATCATCAAACCATACAGAATTTTCCGCAGCGCCTCTAAAACTTGTATTAACCATGTATAAGAAAAAATGCAAATACATAATTACGATTAATGATAATACTTTTTATTTACAACAAAGCTATATATTACATGGCGACCTATTAAAAGTAACAATCAAATTTTAAATAAATAAGAAACAAAACATAACTTAATACATAAATGACCTAAACTGAAAATATTACTTTTCAAAAATTGCAGTAGTAATAAAACCATAGTTCTACAACTGACAACCATGCACGTAAGTGACGTTATGAAAAATTGCAGCAGCAGCGGAACTCAGAAACGAACACGGACTTTGAGCTCCGTATCGCACAGGCAAACTGGGCGGACAACAAATTTGCTGATCTGATGACTTCCTTAAATTGGAAACGTTCATAAGGTCTTTTTCTACTGACGCTTGATGACGTAACTGTTCCAGTCTGAGTTGATTTTGTCTTTTCCATTTTGTCCTAGAATTAGAATCATGGATGAGTTCTTTGACATTATGTTGAAAGATTTGTACCTACTTATACTAACCCAACTGGGAAGATTTATATTTTTCTAAAAATGTTCTCATGTCTGTTACTTTTTGAGTTTTTTTATAAATATGTAATAATAATAATAATAATAATAATAATAATAATAATAATAATAATAATACGTTTATTTTGCATTAAAATCAATAAATACATTTACAATTTTTTACAGGTACTTTACAGAAGTAATAATGCAAAAAAGGAGCTGGAATTCAATTAAAAATTGTTGAAGGTCCAGCCCTTGGACGGTATAGTTATAAAACAAAAGTATGATATACACTTTATCACAGACAAAAAAGGAGAATAGAGTTGAAAAGGCAAAAAAATTTGATATCAGTACAGACCTAAGCAAATAATTTTTTTTATAAAAGGATTAAAAAGAGAAACTTTGGTATCGTTACAATAATAAGCATAAGTAAATGATCATTTCTCTTTTGTATGTTTTTTTTTTGCAAGCCAGTGGTGGAAGAAGACTCAAATACATAGTAGGTACTTCACAGAATTGAGGTTGGGAGAAAAAAACTAATAATATGTCACTGCTCTTGGAGTAGTAGTTGTTTGACTTTTTTTTTAAAAGTCAACACTTTTAAATCTTTAAATTGTGCGGGTAAGCCGTTATACATGCGGTAAGCATTAAAAGAGAAACTCCGTTCAAGTACTGCTGTTGAATGCTGTGGTGGAGTTATCAAACCTCTAAACCTCAAATTTAGGTTGTGTATGTCTGTTCGGTGTTGGATTTTACTTGCGAGATATGGTGGCGTTTTGGTTGTTATTATTTTGTGGTAGAAAACAAGACAGTGTAGCTTTCGTCGTTTGGTCATGTCTAGCCAGTTAGCGTCTTTAAGTTTGTGTGATATAGGCATAAACTTTCTAATTCCATAGATCATTCTAAGACATGACTTTTGCACATTTTGGTCCAAGCATGGTCCATAAACTACATCTCCGAAATTAAAATGACTTAGGACTAAAGTTTCCGTAAGCTGGATTTTTTGTTGTACACTAAGGTGACGGTGAGGGTATAATAATTTCAGTGAAAGATATGCCTTTTTTATGTTTTCGTTTACGTGCTTTCGAAATCGAAGATCGGTGTCCAACATTAAACCTAAATTTCTCGCACAGTCGGATGTTGCAAGCTCATTTCCAGAAATATTCACTTTGAATGTAGTTTTCATTGTGTTTCTCTCTTTTCCAAATAGCATGACAACTGACTTGTTAGGATTAATTTTTAAATTGTGTTTTTCAGAGATGGTAACAGGGTTGGACGAACTTTTGGAAGTGGGCCGGGAAATTTCAGTCTAGCGGCCCATACATTATCATCCCTAGATGTGATCTAATAATATTTAAGTTCATTATCATCAACGCATCCAAATTTTCCATTGTAAGTCGATTCCTTGATCGGTTTTTTATGCATTAAAGTGTTGAAAACTGAAAAGCATTTTTCGCACCCTACTTATGTGCACGCTGAAGTGAGGACATACTGGTATGCCCTAAAGCAGTAGCGTATTTACCATAAGGCCATGGGGGCCATGGCCCGGGGCGGTAGGACTGCAAGGGGCGGCACATCCGCCCCCCCCCCTTCCAATGCTTAGGACTGCTATCAAATTACCAACAAAACAAAACTAAAACTTAATATTTAATTGATAACATTACAAGAATGATGATAGAATAAATAGTTATCTTCGTTCCTGTATAAGCGAAGACCGGACAGGACAGTTCAGCCATTCTTGATATAGAGGCCACTAGACAAAATCTGTCAATTATGATGGTACCAATATAGGTCTGTTCTCACAAAAGTTTCTGACAGTTTGCAAACTGTGACAAGCACATCACTCATCATGTTTTCAATGCCTTTGGTCCAAGATAAATCGGTTACTTAGCTGAGCGATTGTTTTTGACAGGTTGCAAACTGTCAGAGACTCTTGAGAGAACAGACCTATCATTGGACGAATTCGTCAACCAATTTGTGCATCGCAAAAAATACATATAAAAATATTCAATAAATAAATAGCGTTTCTTTTTTCGTTTGATCTTTTTCCAATATATATATATTTTTTTGTTAAATTAGGGCGGCAAACCTTAAAGGCCCAGGGCGCCAAATTTTAAAATACGCCACTGCCCTAAAGATGTCTGATGTGTGTAAGCACGGATGTAAAATCTGTATGTTTACTTATACAAAACCAAACATTGTTTGGAGCGTAAATGTGCAGAATACTCTATTCCATGCCCTGTATCTAATCCTCTGTCATTTACATCATCTTCATCTTCATCGTTTGATTCAGGGAGATCATACAACTTAAATCATTTAAAAATTTTAATTCATTTCCTATATCATCTTCATCTTCATCATTAAATTCAGGGAAGTCATACAGTACTCCGACTTTTTCAAGCACAGTTTTTTCAAGTCACCTACCTTATTTTATTTGAAGCATCGTCTGGCCTGAGTCTGGCATTAGTTCGGAAAAATTGATTATGACAAATTAGCACAAAACAATTATCTCTATGCCTTGCATAAGATGCCTCTATTTTTATTATGATGTGATCATTAGCCACATCGCGTATTTACACCTGAAATTAACAAATAGCAAGAGCTGGAGGAGTATCCTCCCTGCTTCCTCCCCTGTTACTTCTTTCTTTCATTTGCTTTCAGTACTGTATTTGCCTATTTGACATTTTTAGCACTTTCTAATATTTCTTCCATGTTGCGTTGTTCCTTTTTCAGTACGTCATGAATTTAATTGGCCATTAATTCTTTGTGCTTTCATAAGGTCTGTTCTCAAAGAAATCACAAACCAGTCAAATTTCATTGGTTGAAAATAGTCAGAAAACTGTTTGTTGGCGATTTGCACCAATCAAAAACGCTCTGACTGGGTTCGTGATTTCTGTAAGAACAGACCTTATGGAGATCGTCCGTTTAAAAATATCTTGATAAAGGTTCTGTTGTTCTAAAGATCGGCCCACCGGGAATTTCCCGGTATCCCGATGGGTTCATCCAACCCTGGATGGTAACGAGTTGGTGTAGATCTTCTTCTAGCAGAGTCTTTGCTTGTTGCCAGTCTTTTGGATAGAATGAGAGATATATTTGATTATGATTTGCATATTGGTGACCTTTACAGTTTTTCAGACACGAGGTTAGGTGACAGGTGTAAATGGAGAACATGATTGGTGCCAAAATTGCTCCCTGCGGGATTCCGCTGCTTATATGTTTCTTGTCTGATTGTCCTTGTTGTGTTTCAACATATTGGTATCGTCTGTCCAGATAACTATGCATTAAGGCAATCGAGTCACTTGAGAAACCTATGAAGTGGAGTATTGCCAAGAATAATTGATGATTCACCGTGTCGAAAGCCTTCGAATAGTCCAAAAGAATTAGTGCTGTGGTTTTGCCAGTGTCTGTTTGCTGGAAAATATCATCTGTTACGTGTGCGAGGGCAGTGGTACAACTGTAGCCTGGCCTAAAGCCTGATTGGTGTGGCGGCAGAATTTCAAATTTTTCGAGGTGTTCACGTATTTGCTTGTCCATCACCTTTTCTAGGACTTTAGATAAACATGGAAGTATACTAATGGGTCGCAAATCATTGTATTCTTGAACGTTGCTTTTTTTTGGTATGGGTTTGACCTTTGCAATCTTCCAGGTTGTCGGAAAAATATTATCAAGCAGACATGAATTGATAATATTTGTTAAGAACGGCAAAATCATAGGGCAGCACATAAGCACCATTTGTAAATTAATTGTATCCGATCCAGCTGCTTGTGATTTGAGGCTATATAAACAGTCTTTCACATCTTCGACAACTACTGTTTTAAAGGAGAAAGTCTCCAAGTTAGTTTTTTTATTTTGTGTGTAGACGTTTAATAGCTCTAGGTCTATGTTGGAGTTAGCACCTGTGAATTGAAGGAAAAATTTATTAATTTCTTGTGGATTGTTAAGTATTTCAGGCAAGGTTCTGATAGTGCTGGCGTTATTTACGATGTCTAATTGTTTCAGACGTTTCCATAGTAGTTTTTTGTCCGATCCGCGAGTGCAATATTCAAGGTAGCTTTTCTTTTCGTTTTGGATGGCTACGTTTGTTGTATTACGCAGTAGCTTGTAATATTGCCAGTGGCGCTCTGTTGCTGAGTGTTTCAATCTCTATTATATGCTTTTTCTTTGAGTTTAATCATTTTTATGATATTATCGGTTAGCCACGGAGGCTTTTGTTTTTTTATTAAGACTGTTTTCACTGGGGCCAATAGGTCAAATATTGAAACGATAATGTTATTTAAGATGTCTAACTTTTCGTCGATGTTTTGACAGTACAAAATTTCATAAAATGGAGCTTGTTGAAGCAAATCACTTAGCATGCCTTGATTGATCCTTTTGAGATTTCTAAAAGTAACGAAATTGGGTTCACATTTAGTTTTTTCTCCTATACTGCAGAATGTCAGACAGTGATCTGATACTCTATGTATTTTTGTAACCTGTTGCTTGCAATTAATTAAATTCTTGGGTATCAGTATCCAGTCTAACAGTGTTTTTGTCGTAGCTGTGATCCTTGTGGGTTCGTCAATTATTTGTTTTAACTCGTATATCTCGAGACATGTAAGTAGTTTTTGGGTATTTAGGCTATCTACATCGAGAAAGTTAGTATTAACATCTCCACCACAGATTAATCTGTCTGTCGTAATTGAGAACTGAGATAGAGTGTCTTCCAGAGTTTCAATAAAACGCGAGTAGTCTCCCCCATGTAACCTATACAAAGAGCCAATACAATATGATTGTTTATTCAATTTAAACTTAATCCAGATTTGTTCCATACTTTCATTAGATATCGAATCCAGGATGTTATATTTTATTGTGTTTTTTATAAACATTCCCACCCCTCTTCCTAAAAAATTTCTCTCACCAATTGCAGTTCTATCCTTACGTATGAGTTGATATCCTGGTATTTGTATGA